CAGTAAAAGCTGTCTTGTCCTTTTCCCAAAGTCTAAACTGCAAACTATTTGTTCTGATGTGGAGAAGAACATCACTAATTCTGTCTTAAAGAGAAGACAGAAAACGCTTTTTAAAGCGGGACTGCACTACTTGTAGCTGCTAGCGCCCTCTATGTAGCAAACAATGCCTAAGTGGTACCCATTGGTCCCCCATGGTCCCCCTTTTCTTATCTTAATTGAGAGCTTATTTGATGAGATAACCACCTCTAACCACGCAGGGAGGTGTAATCCCTGTTGGCCAAACTATTGCAGATAGTCCCTCAGCATACATGCCAACTGTTCAGATTAAAGAGGAACATTCCTCTTTTTGGGAGAAGATAATTATCATTTTAATGCAAGTGTTCCTCTTCCTGTACAAATTTTTCTGTAGTATTGAATAGGAGAGTTAGGATTGTTCCTCTTTTTTTTGAAAATAGCATAATTTGTACAGATTTCTGATTTTCAAATGTTGGCATGTATGCCTCAGCTGTGTATTAGTAGCTCCAGGATGTTTCTGATGAATTTATTTGGAAGTATATTTAGCATTATATTTTTGATCAATGAAATCCTGTTCAGTGATTGGTCAACATAGCATCATGTGACCAAACATAACATTGCTATAACTGTGAAGCCATCCATGGTATAGTGCACTATACCATGGCACTATACCGTGGATGACTTTTTATCAATTTCTTTTCATGTGTCTCAAAAAGATATGAGGCTCACTGGTAACCTTTCCCTTGCTGTGCTCTACTGTATATAGCAGAGCCGGGGTAATACTAGTTAAAGCGCCTTGAGCCCCATGCATGGTGGGTATGTGCGCTATATAAATATCCAGTATTTACTATTATTATTATTACTACCATGGGTTTCTTCTGCTTATGTTAGGGAATGGTTCTAGCTTGTGTTCCTACAGGTCCTCACTAATGTTAAAAGTGCCTATTACCATTTTCCTTTTTCTTTTGTAACTTTTGTTTAATTCCTTCAGATGTCAATCCGTTTTCCAATTTGCCATCACTAGGATATGTTTTTTTTACGAAAATGTAATTATTTATCTATTTATTTATTTATATATTCATGTTCACAATTTCACCATTCATTGGTGTTTAATAATCATGAACTTCTATTTCTAAATACAGTCAATAACTATCTTTCTACATGTATCTATCATACCGCTTGTAAATTTTATGCATGAGCCCTGGCCGATGATGTACCCCATTATGTAAAAACTCTTGGTTTTAACTTGAAAACGTATTCATGAATTGGCACCAATTTATCTGCAAGAACTATTTCAGGAATACAAACCCTCACGCAATATACGGTCATCACGGTTAAACCTCTTGTCTACTAATAGGTGTCAACTCTTTCTTATGGTCATTGCTCTTTTTGCAAAGCTTCTGCTGAATTTTGGAACTTACTACCTTTACATGTCAAAAACTTTGAGACTGCCAACCAATTCAAAACTTGACAAAAGATTTATATAATCAATATTGCTTTTGATGATTAACTTTGTTCACATTGATGTATATTTCATATGTATCGTAATTTATAGGTTTATTTGTAAGTTTCTGTTTAATATATAATGTCATTGTGTTTTGTTGCAGTGCTTAGATACTTCTATGGAAAGCACTTTATAAGCACCGTTTATATTTAATTCAATTCTAGTTTATTGTAAATAAAAACATACTGAATAAAAAATCTGGAGACTCATACAATTCAGTTTACAAATTAGAAATACTTACAAGAATAAAGAAATCAATACTTTAAGCAATCTTTATATTAATTACTGATTCTAATGAACTAAACAACTAATATCAAATAATCTTGAAATAATACATGTTCTTATTATGCAGCAAAAACATTTAAATACATGTAGTAAAATATGTTTTCACCATTTTCTAAATGTCATATGCAATTTTGTCATACACTTTCAAATTAATAAGTAATCTTTTTTTAACCTAGTTAACATTTCTTTTAGAAATATATTTCTATATAGATGATTATCCAAGAGATATGATAATACAAAATATGCAAATTATGTATAGTCCTATCATTACATGTACTGTGAAATCTGATTAAATCTGATTAATTGGCATGACAAGAAATTAATTACATCTTGGTCACATACGGTCATAATATCGGGTGAAAATATCTACAGATTTGAATTCAAGATTTGTGTGAAGTGGGGAATGGGAGATTGCCTGTAACGCTCTGTTCTCATTTTGGGGGTATTGAGCTGAAGAGAGTTGCTTGCGGAGAGTGCGTTGTGAGATAGTTTGTCTCTAGGGTTTAGAGGTGTATATGAATGAGGTATCTGATTAGTTGGTTGCCCCTAAGAAGGCTATAGTATACAAGCTATATGTATTGTCAATAGCAGTAATGGCTATCTTCAGGGAAAATTTTTTTTTTAAATTTCAGGGGCTACTTTTCAAGCTTGCGTGCATGAGAGTAACACTCTTCACTTTGTTTTGCATTGAACTCTATGCAATTTTTTTTTTTTTTTTTTTGGGGGGGGGGGGGGGGGGGGCTTTTTGTATGACTTTCGGGGGCTAAATTGCCCCGAAGTCCTGTGTATTTTTTTCCCCGGCTATCTTGGAAGCAGCCAAACCACAGTATTTAATCAGTGCTACATGATGAATGTGCAATTTTCGATTTCAATTTTGATTGTTTGTTTCTAGGACTCAATATTATGGATTAAGGCTATGGTTATGGCTATAAGAATAATTTGTGTATTACAATTTTTCTGGAAGAATTGTTCAAGATGGGTAAATTGAATGTGTCTCAATCATCATACTCTGTCAAATAGATTGTACCGTTTCTGGATTGTATTCCAGATCATGGATATAATGTCTTGTACTATTTAAGATCTACAGCTTATGAATCTATTACATTTGCGGTACTCTTCTTCTTTGGTAAATTTGTATATTAAGAATACAAAGAGTTCTAAGAGTAAGCTTTATAAGGGTAAAACAGCTACATGTATACCATTTAAAGATAAACTTGAGTTCTGGTAAAAAAAAGAAAATGAATTCTCACAGAATCTAACGAAACTTACACTGAATGTTCAAGATTACAAATAAATGTCATGTGCCAAACAATTTTGGAAGAAAATTTATACTGGCTGAGTAATGAGCATAGAAAGATAAGGAAATCAGGGTAGTACTAGCCCCGACACCATGTGTGTTGTCCCATATACATCTTTCTGTGTAAGTGATTGTAACTTTACCAAGACTCTGCCAAATTTATGATGATTTTGATGACTCCAGAACCTTGCATTACACACCATTACTTACATGCTATATGATCAACTTTTCTGATCCATTCCACACCGTTTCTTTCACAATGCAATCGCATTACCAGAACTCAAGTTTATCTTTAAGAAACCAGTTTGAGATGACCCTTTGAAGAATAAAAGTTGTATTTTGTAACATCATTGTTTGGTTAATGCTCAATTTTATTGGTAAGACTCGAGATGCAATAAGAGAAGATTCTGTAATAACATTTTGAGAAAAAATTATACCACTTTTAGTGACTCTTTTGTTCTCTGGATAAGAGAGGAAGTAGGTGGCATACAGAGAGAAAGAGAGAGAGACAGGGAAAAAATTAATATTTATTTTTCGGGGAATACTTTTCAAGCTTGCCTGCATGAAAATAACATTCTAAAATTAGTTTTGCATTGAACTCTATGAAAATTTACAGGGGCTCTTTTCTGATTTTCGGGGGCTCTTTTAGGCATTTCGAGGGCTAATTCGCCCTGAGCCCCCGTGTATTATTTTCAGAGGAAAGTGAATGTGAGCGAGAGAGAGAGAGAGAAAGGGAGAGACAAGAGAGAGATGGGGATTCGGCTAAGAGGTAGAGGAGAGTGAATGAGAGATTGAGGGAGAGAAAGGGAGAGACGAGAGAGATGGGGATTTGGCTGAGAGGTACATGTAGAGGAGAGTGAATGTCAGCGAGAGAGAGAGAGAGAGAAAGGGAGAGATAGAGAGAGAGATGGGGATTCGGCCAAGAGGTAGAGGAGAGTGAATGAGAGATTGAGGGAGAGATGAGAAAAAAAGGAGGGAAAGAGAGAAATGAAGAGAGAGAGAGAGTGATGGGGTTCGGCTGAGAGATGAAAAAGAGAGAGGGAAAGTGGGGAAGAGCTCGAGTGTGAGAGAAAAAGGGGAGGGGAAGAGAGACGGTGAATGGGTGAAGAGAGATAGATAGATACACGAGAGAAATAAAGCAATGGAGAAAGAGAGAGAGAGGGGAGGGGGTGGTAGATAGGGGTTAAAGCCCGAAGCCGTCAAAAGAATTTACAGTGACAGGGGGAAAAAAAATTGTTTAAAGGGACAAATAACATGTTGGGTATGGAGAGGGGGACATTCCATTGCCATGTGGTGTGATGGTCTTTCTTTCTTCCCATCTCTGTCTCTTTTCAGCTATCCCTATATCCCAGTTCAGATTAGATGGTAAATTTGCCTGCACGATCCAAGAGGTTTTATTTAGCTACTTATCCATGAAACAAAAACAATTTTGTTCCTTCTTATTTGTAAGCGCATTCGTCTCGCATACCAATTGCAAACATACACAGCAGGGACAAAGTGAGAAATAAGACCATACTGCCAACACATGTTTTTATCAAGCAAACATAAATATTTATTCACAAAGCCGATATTGTAGTAATAATTTGTATAATTATGTTCCTATAACTATCAACCACGTATTTGTTATAAACTGCACATCAATAATGCATAGTGAAATAATAATTCTACTTGAGTTTCGGTTCCAGCGGTAAACATTAGCATAGTAGAATTATGACTTTAATACTAAAACAATTACTATTAGACGCAATCACCTGATCTTCCGATACACATATGCATCTTTGAGATATTTGTCACACAAGCCTAATTAAATTTACAATAAATATTACTATTCTAATATTGCAATCCAAGAATAATGAATAACATCATTTATATACAATACAAAAGGGGATTCGTAATGATATGTGCATTGTTACAATAGGTACATCCATTAGCTGTATGCATTCCATGGGATTCATTGAGTATAATCTCTCAAATTATAATGTCGATCTACAGAACTGACATAAATTGCATTATTTTGATATCATTGGTCCTAGAATACAATGATTAATAATATACGTAAGACAAGGCCATTAAAACATAAAGCGTTGTATAATGAAATCACATTAATTGACCAAAACCAGGTGAAATGAGACAAATGAAGTTTATGAACAAACATAAATATTGCACTAAAAGAACCAAAATACGAAACTCTCTCTCGCCTATTTCACCCTTGCTGCTCTCATTCCTCCTTCTTAATTCTAGATATATTCAACAAAAGAAGATTAATTTGGTATGATAAACTATAATTTGGAATAGAAGCAATAGGTCAGAATGATTCAGAGACCGAGAGGAGGTCGTTTCAATAAAGTGGGAAGGGGGTTTTATAGTAAGAAGTGAAGTGTATGATGAGAAAAGTGCACATAGGCCTATAGCAAAATGTTAAACGAATCTTGGCATATTTAGGTATTTTCTACCGACTATACTACTGTTTTAGGACAGGTTCATTTTACAGCTTTATAAACTTAGAGAAAATATAGCTTACTAACATCGAAAAATGTAGGAGACGGTACTATTGAGGGTCGATTCTCATAATGGAAAAAAAAAGCACACTGAAAATGTTTTTTTAATTATTTTACAACAAAGTAATGCCGATTTTGTGTTTTTTATGATATTTCTTTAAAATATTTGAAGCTCGAATACGTATATAAATTCATAATCTTTGTATGGACGTAATATTGTAGATGTTTTTTATGATAAATTTAAGAGACAATTGTATTGAAAACTAATATAGGGATTTAAACCTATCGTATTTTGTACGCCCTCTACGGTGAGAATCATATATTTTATCTACGCTTTGTATTTTTGCACATTTGGTGCAATGTTTTATACAGACAATCACTTTTTGCGTATAAGACAGATTTATTGAAAATTTCAATGGAAAGGACCAGTTTTCATATCGGGCATAAGGCTAGGATCGACCGACGGCTAGAGATCCTTATGTGGGTATAGGGTTGCATATTCATATTCATTCTCTCTTTTAAACACATCTACGTTGCTTTTCACTATAGCACTTTTTTATTAATATATTTCGCAAATAAAGAATTTAATGAATTGAACATTGTATCAAGAGTTTGCAACTTATCAACATTTCGATCAAGTTCAAAGACTACATCTAAAATGTCCATAAGCGTATGAACAGTTTCTCATATTTACCGTTGAGGGCGAGTAAATAAGATATGTTTATAAGTCCACATTAGCTATTTTTCAATTTGATATAGCTAGCCCAAAATCATGAAAAGGCACAACAAATTATTACAAGAATGAAAAATACTGAAATGTATACCTACACCCATACCAAACATTGGAAACAACAATCATAGTCATGACATTCTCTTTCAAAATATTTATGCTTCCAAAAATCCTCACAAAATTTCTTCAACGGCTGTTTAAAAATTAAAAAATTTACATCGTCGATCATCATGAGACTTGATATAAAATTATGTAAATGGAGAAAAAAAAATACCGGGTAACTTAACAAATAAGATATATTTATTTATATGGGTGTAAAAATCTCTGCTGCTTAGATGATTTGAAAGCCTATAATAAAGAGTAAAAATGATTCCAATTAAGAAAAAATGGGGATAGGAGCTACATTCAATTGTATACTTAACAATGACAATGCTTAAAGCTGGTTAGCAGGGACCGACATTATCTAAACATGAAGTTGAATCAATTTGAACTTCATTTCTCCTGAAAGTTGATTACGGATTTAACATGATAGCTTCAGTACAAAAACAACCCGGTTCCAGTAGAAAATAGGTTAACAAATACCAAGAAGTAGATCAGGTATATATCAGGTATGAGACAATACAGCATGTAAATTTGACCGGGTAGTGTGTCGGCATCAGTGAAACTCAACCAATGTGAGAGAAATGATGTCAGGTGCAATGCAATGCACTATGTCAGCTGTCGCCGTACTGTAGCTCAAGCAGTGTGGGTAATTCTGTACCCCTCCGCATGCATATCATCAATTCCCTGAAGAAGAAAAAAAAATGATATTACGATAAGAAGAAGTATATTAAACTACATAGAAGTGTCTTGTTTACAATGCACATTCACTGGTTTTTCCATATCAAATGATGAAATTCTTTTTTGTTAATACTCAGGGTTATAGAGTACCGAAGCTGTGACGTCATAAAAATCTATTTTTAGAATTTCTCAATTTTTTCTTCATTTTCCGAAAGAACATCGAAAATAATGTCCAAATGTCAAAAACCAATTGAATATGTTAAATATTGGCTGAGATATGACCATCTGAATAAAGATACTCCCCATAGGAGCTCAGTGTTATATGCTCTGGCTCCTAATGGTTAGGAGCCAGAGCATATAACACTGAGTTCCCATAGGACATATATTCATTCGGATGGTCATAACTCTGCCAATATTTAACATATTCAATTGGTTTTCCACATTTGGACATTATTTTTGGTCTTCTTTCGGAATATGAAGAAAAAATTGAGAAATTCTAAAAATAGATTTTTGATGACGTCATACTTCACCACTCTATGATAAGACTGAGAGCTTCAGTCTCTGTAATTTCTGTGTATCGACGATGATGCACTGGGAACTACGTCTGGCTCCACTAGTTTTATCAAAGAATTCCTATTTCTGTCTAGGTAACGACGTACATTATTGTAAAAGATCAGAAATTCTTCCTCCCAAATGCATCATATTATAATTCAATTATCCTATAGCTGGAGACTCTTTAATTAGATATAAATCAGGAAAGGTTATGCCCCTGCCCATGTCATTAATTTTGTTGATTTAAAGGTGCTCTTTAAAAAAAATGCTTTTGTTGATAACATGTTGTTTCATCAGACGATCAGTGACTACATGACTACAGTGAAGTGATACCAAACAAAAAAAAACATTCTCAACTATACATACAAATAGTAATGATATGATTAAAGCTAACTGAAAAGCATAGAATCGAAACAAAAAAATAACATCGGAAACAAAGACAGAAATATATGATATGATAACAAAAATATTGAAACCCCAATCCAGACAGAATACACAAAATGAACTAAAAAAGACAACTGATTAGAAGAATGCATTTTAGAAAACAAACATGAATTTAAAAAATACGTTATGCCACGGTCCTCTTTTCCGATGAGAATTTGGTTGTAGACATTAGTATATTAAAATAGAAAACAAAGGAATTAAGGACATAAAATTAGAATATGAGGGACAGAGAACGATTTGGAAATATTATGGAGCAGAAGAAGATACTATTGCAGAAAAGTAACACAAAGAAGTATGGACCAACGAAACATTGAGAAAGAATTTTGGCCCAGAATAGATGGAAAGATAAGCGAAAAAATAACCTACTATCATAAAAAGGTTAGCATTATTATGGTCTTTAAACACATGGAATATAAAAACACTGGCCCAACATGGAACAATAATAACTTACATGCTGGACAAACACAGCGAGTGGGCCGGGTGATGTATCGAGACTCGTCAGATAATATTCCAGTCTACCGCCCTCTGTAGTCCCACACCCGACGAACCTATGTCCAGAAAAGTAAGTGAAGGAAGTAAGGTGCGTTGGGTGTTAAATTAAAGGAAAATAGGTTGACAGAGAGAGAGAGAGGTTGAGCGAGGGAGAGAGAGAATAGGGAGAGGGTGACATGGGAGAGACAGAAAGAGAGAGCAAGAGAGAATGAGAGAGAAAGGCGTGATAGGAAGAGAAAATAATAATTAAAAAAATTAGGAGATACAATCACACAAAATAAATCATGAAGTTCAGTCCAAACTTGGGAAGTTATATCCATAATGTCTAAACTTTGCATCCTTTCATGCATTTGCACCATTATGCTTTAGCACGGCAGACTAGCTGAATAGTACAAAAATAATACACAGCAGTGAGGGCATTAGTAAGAATTACCCACACAAGGTACCTTTGGAACAGTCTAGCACGCCCGAGGCGATATCGCCGAGGGTGTTTGGACTGTTTCGAAGGTACCAAGTGTGGTAAATTTTACTAGTGACATAACAAATGATGTGTATAATTTGCTTTATGAGAAGATGCTTTATTTGTTTTATAAAATGATGTTTTGTAACATGATTTTAGTAATGACCGGTCATTAGTATTTATTTTATTTCATACCTCTCTTTAGAAATCTAGCCATCTGATTGGTCGAATTGGAGTCGTGATTTAGCCATGCTCGCCTACCGGTCAATAGTAGGGACTTTTAGATTCGCACAAAGACAATGGGGATTGCTACCAGGGGCGTACGCAGGATTTTTTCAAGGGGGGGGTTTTAAAATATTTTGCTCCCGAAAATTTGAAAATCGCGCCGGCCGAAAAGTCGCTCAGTGGGGGGGGGGGGGGGGGGGGGGGGGGGGGGGGGTAAGCGGACACTTTTTTTTTTTTTTTTGGAGGTCAAAAAAAATCGCAACGACTCGGCCAGCCGAAAAGTCGCTCAGTGGGGGGGGGGGGGGGGGGGGGGGGGGGGGGGTAAGAGGACACATTTTTTTTTTTTTTTTTGGTCTCGAAATTTCAAAATTTGACATTTTTTGTCGTTGGGGGGGGGGGGTAAGGTCACCTTATTTAGGTTAGCCGTGGGTATAATTTTTTTTTTTTTTTTTTTTTTTTTTTTTAATAATAAAAAAAAAAAAAAAAAAAAAAAACCAAAGGGGGGGTTTTAGGTTTTTTTAGGGGGGGTTTACATACATAAAAATACCAAAGGGGGGGGTTTGAACCCCCAAAACACCCCCCCCTGCGTACGCCCCTGATTGCTACGATCTACGTCCTTTTAATGCACTGCCTTGAATGGACGTATTACGTATCAGTCCACGCAAATCTTAAAGTCCCTAGTCTTTTAAAAGATGCCCGCAAGCCCGACTACCGGTAAATAGTCTTTTTAAATATGCCTGTTGCCCCGGGTAACAGACCACATAAATAAATTGTGCTCAGATCCCTTGGTTTACGTGTTAAAAGATTTTTTTGTGCGAGCGCAAATACAAAATACAGTGCAGTGTGTGTCCAATTCCCGAATGATCTTAGCATTCAGGCAACTTTCTAGCGAAGATTTACAGACAGTGTCTCAGATTTTCTGTGATGTAACCAGTCTTTACTCAAGAAAAAGGATAGTGTAATAATTCTTTGTAGATTTTTTTTTGGTGTGAATTCGGTATTTAAAAGATATATCGACTGCTTTAATATTCGAAGCATATATAACTGTTTCTATACTGGCTCTCGGCGACGTTAGATCCTGATCTAACCCCTCAGGATGTTACGTCCACTTGAGCCTATAGAAACAGCGACGCCTCTCATAGCAGTCGATATGATCTATACTAATGACCGGTCATTAGTAAAATTACGCGTTAGGCACAATAAATGCCTGGACCCGTGTACGCTCTCAACCAATCATATGATTAGGATCCGCTTCACATTCTTATACAATAATCTTTTTAATAAAATATTTGAACAAGAACTTACCACACTCTCGACATCGTCTTCGCATGCATGCAGCTCTCGATGAGGTAAACCATGTCTTCCTCGTCTGTGCACTTCACCCCGGACACATTTATCTGCTGCAGGTTTTCGGTTTGTTCTCTGATCAGAAGACCCAAGCCTCTCACCGTCTCTCTCGATACACTGTTCTTCTCTGATGGTAGTGATGGAGGTGCTTTAAGGCTAATGTGCGTGAGCTCATGTCCTCCTGTCCGACGAAGACCAGCCGTGATCTGAGGTATGTCTCTCTCTGCATCATTGATAGTGATATCGATATCTCTCAAGCCAGGAAGCGATGAGAGCAGACCCTCATAGCTTTGTGACATCACTCTCTCGGATGATAACTTTCTGACGAATGGAAGCTCAGGAGGAGATGAAGGGAAACTGAGAGAGGAGTCTGAGATGGTGAGATGGTTCAGTAAGGTGAAAGATCTGAGACCGGACCACATTCTCTCAGTCATTTCGGAAGATAACTGGTATTTCTCTACGGAGAGTTTACCATCATCCTGGAATTAAAATATAATATGATATGTTAGCCATATGATAAACAACAAATATTGGAAATGGATAGTGAAAGCGATATGACACTTTTTCTTTGACAAATAGCTCCAAGGTTATTATTTTTATAAATCAGGTCTACTTACGCAGAATAAAAATTACACAAACTTTACACAGAATTTGAACTTTGCCGAGAGGAAGGCGTAAGCAAGTGCAGGGTACAATAAAACAGTGTATTTAATATCTCTAGCGCAGTACCCGGATGACAGATCGATATTGTTTTCGTATTATTCATCCGGGAACTGTCGATACAATACCGAAGAAAGTAAAATGTTGTTATTTCGCTAGTCAGCCTGATATTGGAAATAATAATAATATTGTAGGGTTTGTTTACGTGTGAAAATAAATTGCTCTCGCTATAAAAAATACATTCTTGTATCACACTCAAAACCATCCAATATTATATGAGTATTGTTGATTCCATATCCTCAAACTGCTGGCGAACAGAGCAACAAGACCAAGCTCTGTAATTATTAGGATCTCTGTCCAGTAGTGCCGTGTTTGTGCCATCGAACTGGATCGACCAAATCAATTGATTCATAATATATAATATTATATGCAATATTGTTTCCCATAACATGAGAGTAATTTTAATAGTTTCATCAACTGTTATTGTATAATTGTTTTAAATGCGGGCACGCTACAAGAGTCCTATCTCGCACCCCGGGGCAACGTGTCTGACACGGCCGGTTGTAGCAACTACTCCGAAGATCAAGATTACATTAATCTTGATCTAAGGAGACACGAACGAACGATTTTTATTGTATTGTTTTTTCAAACTTGCTACACGCATTTTATACACTTAAATAATTATTTTACCCTGTAAAATGATATACTTGTATACCTGGCTGAATATACTTTGTAGATAACTTACATGCACGACAATCACCCTGAGCGACTTCTTTGACTTCTTTGAATTGCGAAGACCAGTGATGTGAAGACTTAGTTTACCGCCTCTGTTTGTACCACAGTCAAGAAGCCTGCAACATATAAATGAAGTGTAAATTACGTAAAAAAGAGAAATGGAAAGAAGATAGTGCACTCATTTGTAGATGAGTACATGTACAGTTAAAGTGCACCGATCACCTAAATATTATTTTTGTATAGCTAGAAGGTACGAAATAAACGTAGACGTAGACGAAAGACTTCATGCATGGCTGATTGTCAACGAAACGGAGTTAAGTCTTTTTGCTACAGCAGGCAGCTAGTGAAAACGCATTCGTTTGATAAAATTATGGAAATGCAAGCACTACTTCAAACAAACAGCACTTTGTTAGTCCTTGCTCATTTTTCCTGATTGAGGTGTCATATGAAAGGGCAGAAACTCAGCTTTCTAGAAATGTGATTTTTTTCCTTGAAATTCAGATACCGTCCGCCAAATTACTTTTTGGTTTCCTCTCTTCAAATTCATTTTACTCACTCATGCGTGAAATATGCATCATATGTGTTGCATCAAATAAAAAAGGAGGATCTAAGCTTTCCAAATATGTGTCATTTATCGATTATAAATGTGACTAAGTTATGGTAAAACATCGATAATTCTCGGTTCGTTTTTTCTGGGACGCACTGTATATGATATAGGGTGCGCACAAAACCGAATTCGGTCTTCGGTTCCATGGGCGCCCTATTCCTTTACGCAAGACGAGCACGAATGGGTGCCTCGACCAGCCTTTCACGAGGTGTCACTCTTAATTGAGATTTTTTTAAACAGGCAACATGTTGTATGTTTTTTAAAATATATTTTGTATGTTTTTTTAATATATTTTGTACTGAATGAATACAATAAAAAGAATGCTACAAAACAAAAAAAACAGATGCGGCACTCCAGTCGGAGGGGGGGGGGGGCACAGTGCACAGTGCCCCTCCTTTTTCGAGTACCCCAAAGAGACCCTTTTTTATTTAGAAAAGGTGCCATTTCTTTTTTTACTTTTTGCACACATAAGTCCCCCTTTACCCTTCTCTTAAGTGCCCCTTATGATACGTGACCCTTTTGCTTTGAAAAATACCCATTTTACTTTGTAATTAAATCCCCTTTTCCCTTCATTTAAGTGCGATAAGTGCCCATGTTACAGTGGCTTGTCCTCCTTTTCCTTTCTAGCAAGTGCTCTTTCCATTCCAAGTAGTGCCCTTTTCATCCCTGATGAATGTCCCTTTTTAGGTATGAAAATACCCCTTCTCAGACCCGATAAGTGACTATTACTTTAACTGGTGCCCATTTCCCTTTTCTAATAGGTACCACTTCCCCCTTCTTATAAATGCCCCCTCTTCACCTTTGATATGTGCCCCTCCCCTTTTAAAAAATCTTTTCCCCAATGTCACTTACAAATTGTACCCTTTGGTGGTCATCTAAAGAGCCACTTCTAGTTTCAAAGAATCGGAGCAGATTTATGTAGTAACAGGAATCTCCTTTCTACCACCAACATGAAAGATGGTGGAGTCGGGGTTGGGACAAGGGACACAGTGCCCCCAAATGATAAAACGAACTGTCCAATTGAAAAAAATGATTTCCTGCTAGTTTTCAAAGCTATCAAATATTCCTTCTCTTGATATCAGAAACGTTCCCTTATCATTAACCACAATGACATATTCTACTCAACTGCCAAAAGAGGCATCTTCCAACCTATCACCCGTTAAACCCCATTTAACGATATATTATAAATGCAAGCTAGAGTTTTGGGGAAAATTTGAGGGAATATTTGCCCTCGGTCACTTTGAATTAGGGGCACATGTTAAGGAGGCTATGAAAACTCTATTGTTTTGGAAGAGATGAGGGGTGATATAACATATTGTCATTGCAAGTGCGAATGCTGCCCAATTTGTAAGAGAAAATAGGATATACATGTATTGGTAATAAGGGGGACTTACCAAAGAGCTGTTTTTTCCTTTAGAATAAGCGAGTGACTTATCACATTTATTAAGGGGAAACTATCCGAATTTAATGGAACAACTATTACAACAACAAAAAACGAGTGCACAATTCAGAAGGGAATATGAAATTTATCCGAAAAGAAAAGGGGCTCGTGTCAGAATAAAATGGTAGTTATCGGATTTGGATAGGGGCACCGATCAGTAGTGAGAAGGTGCATTGATAAAAATAGGAGAAAGGGCACTTATCAGAAAGGGAAATTGGCATTTATTTCAAAAGGAAAGGGGCATGTGCCAAAGTAAAAGAGACAGTTATCAGAGTTTATAGACCGTCAACACTACTGGACCAGAAGGGATTAGACAACACAGCGAGGTCATTGACAGGTGGCTATCTAATTAACTCAGCTCTCAACTAACATAAGAAAAGGAGGATCATGGGGGACCAACAGGCACCGATTGGGGAAGTTTTCTATATAGAGGGAGCAAGTAGCCACAAGTAGGACAATGGGGCTTTAAAAAGGTACAATTTTTATACCTAAAAAGGGGCATTCATTAAAGATGAAATTATAATGAACTTATAAGAAGTGGGAATTTACATTTATTATAAAAGAATGGGGGCACGTGTAAAAATAAAAGGGGAACCTTTCATATTTCTATAAGGGCACTTTTGAGGTACTAGAGATACAACGGGGCACTTATAAGAAGGTGGAATCGACATTCATTACAAAAGAAAGGGGGTATTTGTAAAAGTAAAAGGGGCACATATCCCATTTGACTAGGGTCACCGTTGAGGTACTTGAAAACAGGTGTGAAGGCACTGCCCCCCCCCCCTAGTTCCAAATAACGTAATCGTGTTAATTTCTAGAAGTATAACTATTATTATTATCATCATAATCAATTTCTGTAGAAAAAAAAAAATCACATTATAAGACTCAGTGTCTTCACATGTCTGCAAGACTCTACAAGTTCAACCAAATCTTCTTCGTCTGTGCACTTCACTCTGGACAGACAAAGCCGCTGTAGGTTCTTCGTTCGTTCTCTGATCAGAAGACCCAGTGCTCTCATCGTCTCTCTTGATACATTGTTCTTCTCTGATGGGAGTGCTGAATATGCTGTAATGGTGACGTGTATGAGCTGCTGTCGTCTGGTACGACGAAGACAAGCCGTGATCTGAGGTATGTCTCTCTCTGCATCATCGATAGTGATGTCGATATCTACCAGGTCAGGAAGTAATGAGAGCAGATCTTCATAGTTTCGTGACATCACTCTCTTAGCGGATAGCTTTGTGACGAACGGAAGCTCAGGAGGATATGAGGGGAACCTGAGAGAGGAGTCTGAGATGGTGAGATGGTTCAGTGAGGTGAAGGATGTGAGGCTGGACCACAACCTTTTGGTCATTTCAGTAGATAGTTGGCACTGCTGTATCTCAAGCCTCGTATTCTGCAATGAATTGCGCACATAATTATTGAGACTGAAAGGGGGAAAGATAGAATTTCACATCAGTGAGTTAAAAAAAAACGAGAACTACCGATGTTTTATCATAATTAATCACAATAATGATAATAAATGACGCATATTCGTAAAGCTTAGATCCTCCTCTTACATTTGATGCAACTCATATGATGCATATTTCACGCATTAGTGATTAAAAACAATTTGAAAAAAGGGTACCAAAAAAACAAGTTCATTTTCTGCCCTTACACATGACACCTCAATCAGGAAAAATGAGCCAGGAATAAATAATGCTTGCATTTCAATAATTTTATCAAACGAATTCGTTCTACTGGCTACCTGCCCTAACAACAAATAAGACGAAAGACTAGCAATTAGCTTAGATAATTTTTACTCACCACTCCGTTTCGTTGACGATCAGCTATATGCAATAAAGTCTTTTGTCGACTTTGTTTGTTGCTACGGCAGGCATCCAGTGAAAACGAAATCGTTTCAAAAAAATTATGGAAATGCTAGCATTACAGAACTTTGTCATTCCTGGCTCATTTTTCCTGATTGTGGTGTCATATGAAGGGGCAGAAAATGAACTTTTTGGAATTGTGATTTTCTCTTTGAAATTTAGATACTGTTCGCCAAATGACGTTTTGGTACCCTTTCTTCAAATTGCGTGAATATGAATCATATGAAAGAGAAAGAACTAAGCTTTTCAAATATTTGTCATTTGTTAATTATAATTGTGATTAAGTTATGATAAAACATTGTTAGTTCTCGGTTTCGTTTTTTTCTGGGACGCACTGCACAAGGTGTAAATGTACCACGTAATCTGATAAATGATTTGATTCTTTATTTAGAAGAAACAATGCTACCTTGCAGCAATTTCCTCAGTTCAAGGCAGAGAGGAAACCCCTATATCGAATATTTGAAAGCGATATGAATGCACCTATATTACACAAATCTACTCACCTGGATGGCATACCCGTCGTTGTTAAGAGAACCACCTGCATTCCTGCATATTATTTGAAAACGAAATGAGGGTAAGAATGTGATTCAATAAATTCTTGGGAAATGACATAACTTTACTGAAGAAAATAAGTGAACTGTACTTCCCCTCTGAAGAGGTATCATAATCAGGATTATGAAAAATAACAAGAACTATAATGTTAGTGATAACAATCATAAGAAGAACATCAATAGTAAAATATTTTAATATATTGTTTTTTTTCTTCAAAAGCAACATGAGCACAAAGTCTGTATTAAGATCTACATATACGTACCCTGAATTCAAGTACGTTAGTTGTTTAGTCATGACAAACAAGTTGACTAAGGCTTCTTCGTCTCTGCCCTTCACCCCGGACATATGCAGCCGCTGTTGGGTTCTGGTTTGGTCTTCAAATAGAAGAATAAGCCCTCCACCTGCCTCTCCAGAATCAATCTCCCTGTCTGTCGTTCTTGCTGGCCAAGGGTGTAGTCTGATATGAACAAAGCACTGTTCATTCTCAGCCCTAGTCTGACCCATAGGTCTGGTGGCGGTGGTCATCTGGGAAGTGTTGCTCGTCTCTGCATCATCGATAGAGACATCGATATCTGTCACACAAGGTACCGATGAGAGCACACCGTTGTAGCTTTGTGACGTCACTCTCTCAGCTGATAGCTTTGTGACTGATAGAAGCTCCGGAGGAGATGGAGGGAAACTGAGAGAGGAGTCTGAGATGCTGAGCTGTTTCAGTGACAGTGAGTTGAAGGATCTGAGGCAGGACCACAACTTCTGGGTCATCTCAGAAGATAACTGGCAGTGTTGTATCTTAAGCCTAGTATTCTGCAATGAAATGCAAACAAATGAACTTGTCACTTTTATATGTATCGATATAGATAATGAGGCTAAACGTGTGGAAATTATAAGTTATAGAATTCCATATCAGTAAAGCTGAAAGAACAAGGTTTCACTGCACCATTTAAATGTATTATTCCAAGAACTGAATGAATCCTTTCATAAAAACACAATACACCTGTGTTGCGATTTCCTTTACTAGTTCAATTCAGAGGATATTCCTTTCTTGACTATTTCAAAGCGAAATGCAACCACCCGTACAGAATAAGAAAATTATACATACCTGGCCAAGGTACTGTTCGTTTCGAGAACCACTTTCACACCTACATAGAATATTTGAAAATGAATGAGGGAAAGAACGTGATTCAAGCAAGTCTTGGGAAAATGAGAAAGCAAATGAATTGTACATACCCTCCTTTAATAATTACAGAGGTAAATTAAAACAATACTAATTATAGCAATAATGATAGTAATCTTGTAATATTTTATTAATGGTAAAGATAACAAATATTATCATGATAATGATATTAATAATAAGAATAGCCATATAATAAAATGTTAATAAATTATTTTGTGTTCATGTCGTATTCAAAAGCAACATGAACACAACATATATATACGTGAATTAAGATATAGATCTAGGTATACTTACTTCGAATTCATGTACGTTAGTTGTCTAGTCTTGACAAACAGGTTGACTAAGGTTTCTTCGTCTCTGCCCTTCACCCCGGACACATGCAGCCTCTGTTTGTTTTGGGATGGGTCTTCAAATAGAAGACATACGATTGACTCTGGATCTCCAGAATCAATCTTCCTGTCCGTCGTTCTTGCTGGCCAATCTTCTAGTCTGATATGAATAAAGGACTGTTCATCTCTCACCCTAGTCTGACCAATAGGTCTGGAGGCGGTGGTCATCTGAAAAGTGTTGCTCGTCTCTGCATCATCGATAGAGACATCGATATCTCTCACACAAGGTACCGATGAGAGCACATCTTTGTAGCTTTGTGACGTCACTCTCTCGGTTGATAGCTTTGTGACTGATAGAAGCTCCGGAGGAGATGGAGGGAAACTGAGAGAGGAGTCTGAGATGCTGAGTTGTTTCAGTGAGTTACAGGATCTGAGGCAGTACCACAACTTCTCAGTCATTTCAGCAGATAACTGGCAGTGCTGTATCTGAAGCCTAGCATTCTGCAATGAAATGCATACAGATGAACTTTTCACTTTTATATGCATACATGTATATATAGATAATGCGACTAAACGTACTGTATAAATAATTGCATATTAGTGAAGCCGAAAATACATGGCATAAATCGCCACTTAAATTCATATTCCGAGAATTAGAATTGAATGTATTGTTTTAATTAGAATTGAGTGTATTCATGAAAACACAATACATCTGTGTTGCGATTTCTTTAAATAATTCAATTCACAGTTTATCTCTTGAATATTTCAAAGCGAAATGCATGCACCCGTATAACAAGAGTCTACTCACCTGGACAGCGTACTGTTCGTTTGGAGTACCACCGCCACTTCTACATAGAATATTTGAAAAGGAATGAGGGAAAGATCGTGATTCAAGCAAGTCTTGGGAAATGATATTACATTAATGCAGAAAGCAAGTGATTTGTATATCCCCTTTTTACAGAGATAAATGAAAACAATACTAACAATAGCAATAATGAAAATAATCATATTATAATAATGGTAATGATAATAAGACATACAATACATGATAATGATATCAATAATAATGAGAATATCCATAGAAATCGAATGTTAATACATTATTTTTTGTTCATGTCGTCTTAAAAGCAACATGAGCACAAAGTCTGTATTAAGATCTACATATACGTACCCTGAATTCAAGTACGTTAGTTGTTTAGTCATGACAAACAAGTTGACTAAGGCTTCTTCGTCTCTGCCCTTCACCCCGGACATATGCAGCAGCTGTTGGGTTCTGGTTTGGTCTTCAAATAGAAGAATAAGCCCTCCACCTGCCTCTCCAGAATCAATCTTCCTGTCCGTCGTTCTTGCTGGCCAATCTTCTAGTCTGATATGAATAAAGGACTGTTCATCTCTCACCCTAGTCTGACCCATAGGTCTGGAGGCGGTGGTCTTCTGAAAAGTGTTGCTCGTCTCTGCATCATCGATAGAGACATCGATATCTCTCACACAAGGTACCGATGAGAGCACACCTTTGTAGCTTTGTGACGTCACTCTCTCGGCTGATAGCTTTGTGACTGATAGAAGCTCCGGAGGAGATGGAGGGAAACTGAGAGAGGAGTCTGAGATGCTGAGTTGTTTCAGTGAGTTACAGGATCTGAGGCAGTACCACAACTTCTCGGTCATTTCAGCAGATAACTGGCAGTGCTGTATCTGAAGCCTAGCATTCTGCAATGAAATGCATACAGATGAACTTTTCACTTTTATATGCATACATGTATATATAGATATTGCGACTAAACGTACTGTATATATAATTGCATATTAGTGAAGCCGAAAATACATGGCATAACTCGCCACTTAAATTCATATTCCGAGAATTAGAATTGAATGTATTGTTTCAATTAGAATTGAGTGTATTCATAAAAACACAATACATCTGTGTTGCGATTTCTTTAAATAATTCAATTCACAGTTTATCTCTTCTTGAATATTTCAAAGCGAAATGCATGCACCCCTATAACAAGAGTCTACTCACCTGGACAGCGTACTGTTCGTTTGGAGTACCACCTCCACTTCTACATAGAATATTTGAAAAGGAATGAGGGAAAGATCGTGATTCAAGCAAGTCTTGGGAAATGATATTACATTAATGCAGAAAGCAAGTGATTTGTATATCCTCTTTTTACAGAGATAAATGAAAACAATACTAACAATAGCAATAATGATAATAATCATATTATAATAATGGTAATGATCATAAGACATACAATACATGATAATGATATCAATAATAATGAGAATATTCATAGAAATCAAATGTTAATACATTATTTTTTGTTCATGTCGTCTTAAAAGCAACATGAGCACAAAGTCTGTATTAAGATCTACATATACGTACCCTGAATTCAAGTACGTTAGTTGTTTAGTCATGACAAACAAGTTGACTAAGGCTTCTTCGTCTCTGCCCTTCACCCCGGACATATACAGCAGCTGTTGGGTTCTGGTTTGGTCTTCAAATAGAAGAATAAGCCCTCCACCTGCCTCTCCAGAATCAATCTTCCTGTCCGTCGTTCTTGCTGGCCAAGGGTGTAGTCTGATATGAACAAAGCACTGTTCATTCTCAGCCCTAGTCTGACCCATAGGTCTGGTGGCGGTGGTCATCTGGGAAGTGTTGCTCGTCTCTGCATCATCGATAGAGACATCGATGTCTGTCACACAAGGTACCGATGAGAGCACACCTTTGTAGCTTTGTGAAGTCACTCTCTCGGCTGATAGCTTTGTGACTGATAGAAGCTCCGGAGGAGATGGAGGGAAACTGAGAGAGGAGTCTGAGATGCTGAGCTGTTTCAGTGAGTTACAGGATCTGAGGCAGTACCACAACTTCTCGGTCATTTCAGCAGATAATTGGCAGTGCTGTATCTGAAGCCTAGCATTCTGCAATGAAATGCATACAGATGAACTTTTCACTTTTATATGCATACATGTATATATAGATATTGCGACTAAACGTACTGTATATACACTGTTGGTCATAATGGTGGAATATTTATTTTTACCCCAGTTTAGGAAAGGATTTTTAAAAATTATTTATTTCTAATAGATCTAGATAATGGCATACACTCTCAGGTTTTATTGAATATTAATTTGCGAGTGTTTGTTTTGCGTGACTGCTTAATCATTTGTGTGATACTATGCTAATCAGCTAAGGGACCTACGTCCTTAGGTCATAATTGACAGTAATGAGGATTGATGCCTCACAAAAGGGCACTAATATATAGCTGATCGACACAATTTTATCCTGGGGCCTCACAGTAATGAGGCCATTGCTTAGCCCCTGAATCATGACCGTACGCAGTGTTTGCTAGGGTACGCGGCCCCTACCACAAATCCCCCAAAACGAAGAAAATGCAATAAATTGTCAAAAATTCATTGCATTTCCCCCCGGCCCCCAACAGGAAAAATTCCTCTGTAGGGCCATGCATTATGGTTCAAAACATGGCCACACAGAGGAATTTTTCCTGTTGGGGGCCGGGGGGAAATGCAATGAATTTTTGACAATTTATTGCATTTTCTTCGTTTTGGGGGATTTGTGGAAGGGGCCGCGTACCCTAGCAAACACTGCGTACAATCATGATTCAGGGGCTAAGCAATGGCCTCGTTTCTGTGAGGCCCCAGGATAAAAATCGTGTCGATCAGCTATATATTAGTGCCCTTTTGTGAGGCATTAATCCTCATTACTGTCAATTATGATTTAAGGACGTAAGTTCCCTAGCTTATTAGCATAGTAGCACACATATGATTTAGCAGTCACGCAAAACAAACACTCGCAAATTAATATTCAATAAAATCTGAGAATGTATGCCATTATCTAGATCTATTAGAAATAAATAATTTTTTAAGGTCCTTCCCTAAACTGGGGTAAATATAATTATTCCACCTTTATGACCAACAGTGTATATTGCATATTAGTGAAGCCGAAAATACATGGCATAAATCGCCACTTAAATTCATATTCCGAGAATTAGAATTGAATGCATTGTTTCAATTAGAATTGAGTGTATTCATAAAAACACAATACATCTGTGTTGCGATTTCTTTAAATAATTCAATTCACAGTTTATCTCTTTTTGAATATTTCAAAGCGAAATGCATGCACCCCTATAACAAGAGTCTACTCACCTGGACAGCGTACTGTTCGTTTGGAGTACCACCTCCACTTCTACATAGAATATTTGAAAAGGAATGAGGGAAAGATCGTGATTCAAGCAAGTCTTGGGAAATGATATTACATTAATGCAGAAAGCAAGTTATTTGTATATACCCTTTTTACAGAGATAAATGAAAACAATACTAACAATAGCAATAATGCTAATAATCATATTATAATAATGGTAATGATAATAAGACATACAATACATGATAATGATATCAATAATAATGAGAATATCCATAGAAATCAAATGTTAATACATTATTTTTTTGTTCATGTCGTCTTTAAAGCAACATGAACACGAAGATCAGTATACGAATTGAGATCTAGATCTACTTACCCCGAGACAAAGTTAGTTAGTTGTTTAGTCATGACAAACAAGTTGACTAAGACTTGTTCGTCTCTGCCCTTTACCCCAGACAGATGCAGCCGCTGTTGGGTTTTGGTTTGGTCTTCAAATAGAAGAATAAGCTCTCCAACTGACTCTCCAGAATCTATCTTCCTGTCTGTCGTTCTTGCTGGCCAAGGGTGTAGTCTGATATGAACAAAGCACTGTTCATCTCTCGCCCTAGTCTGACCTATAGGTCTGGTGGCGGTGGTCATCTGGGAAGTGTTACTCGTCTCTGCATCATCGATAGAGACATCGATATCTCTCACACAAGGTACCGATGAGAGCACACCTTTGTAGCTTTGTGACGTCAATCTCTCGGCTGATAGCTTTGTGACTGATAGAAGCTCCGGAGGAGATGGAGGGAAACTGAGAGAGGAGTCCGAGATGCTCAGCTGTTTCAGTGAGTTGGAGGATCTGAGGCAGGTCCACAACTTCTCGGTCATCTCAGAAGATAGCTGGCAGTGTTGTATCTTAAGCCTAGTATTCTGCAATGAAATGCAAACAAACGAACTTGTCACTTTTATATGTATCGATATAGATAATGAGGCTAAACGTGTGGAAATGTTAAGTAATTGAATTCCATATCAGTGAAGCTGAAAGTACAAGGTTTCACTGCACCATTTAAGTGTATTATTCCGAGAACTGAATGAATCCTTTCATAAAAACACAATACACCTGTGTTGCGATTTCCTTTAATAGTTCAATTCAGAGGATATTCCTTTCTTGACTATTTTAAGGCGAAATGCATGCACCCGTACATAATAAGAAAATTATACATACCTGGCCAAGGTACTGTTCGTTTGGAGAACCACTTTCACACCTACATAGAATATTTGAAAATGAATGAGGGAAAGAACGTGATTCAAGCAAGTCTTGGGAAATGAGAAAGCAAATGAATTGTACATGCCCTCCTTTAGTAATTACAGAGGTAAATTAAAACAATACTAATTATAGCAATAATAATAATAATATTTTAATATTTTAATAATGGTAATGATAATGATATTAATAATAAGAATAGCCATATAATAAAATGTTAATAAATTATTTTGTGTTCATGTCGTATTAAAAAGCAACATGAACACAATTATGTACGTGAATTAAGATATAGATCTAGATATACTTACTTCGAATTCATGTACGTTGCTTGTTTAGTCTTGACAAACAGGTCGACTAAGGTTTCTTCGTCTCTGCCCTTCACCCCGGACACATGCAGCCTCTGTTTGTTTTGGGATGGGTCTTCAAATAGAAGAATAAGCTCTCCAACTGACTCTCCAGAATCAATCTTCCTGTCTGTCGTTCTTGCTGGCCAATCTTCTAGTCTGATATGAACAAAGCACTGTTCATCTCTCTCCCTAGTCTGACCTATAGGTCTGGTGGCGGTGGTCATCTGGGAAGTGTTGCTCGTCTCTGTATCATCGATAGAGACATCGATATCTCTCACACACGGTACCGATGAGACCACACCTTTGTAGCTTTGTGACGTCACTCTCTCGGCTGATAGCTTTGTGACTGATAGAAGCTCCGGAGGAGATGGAGGGAAACTGAGAGAGGAGTCCGAGATGCTGAGCTGTTTCAGTGAGTTGAAGGATCTGAGGCATGTCCACAACTTCTCGGTCATCTCAGAAGATAGCTGGCAGTGTTGTATCTTAAGCCTAGCATTCTGCGATAAAATGCAAACAAACGAACTTGTCACTTTTATATGTATCGATATAGATGAGGCTAAACGTGTGGAAATTATAAGTTATTGAATTCCATATCAGTGAAGCTGAAAGTACAAGGTTTCACTGCACCATTTAAATGTATTATTCTGAGAACTGAATGAATCCTTTCATAAAAACACAATACACCTGTGTTGCGATTTCCTTTAACCCTATTAAGGCCGGGGGGGGGCCATTATGGCCCCCCCCCCCCCCCTCCACGATTTTTCCGATTGCTCGGGAACGCATATGGATGGCGCCCCGCCGCTCGCTGACTTTTTTCTTTCGAGTCTTGCGCAACTTTTGAAATCATTTTTTTGAAAATCGGACCTACGGTTACAAGGTCACGTGACCTTTTGTCTTTGCATGTCAGCCTGAAAATCGCTCATTTTCGTGATTTGTGTACAAAACATATGGAAAAGTCATTTTTCCTAAAAACAGAACAAACATGGGTTATTGGGTCTTGTTTAAAGTTGAGGTGGTTGTTTTTGAAGTCAAAATAGTTGAATTGTAGTAAGAAATGAAATAAAACAACAAAAACAATGAAATACATAAGTTAAAAAACAATGAAATACATAAGAAATTATCAAAACAAGGGATAACATAAGGAATAAGCTGGCTCTTCCAAAAATTTTTGTCGTATTGTTATTGAGAATGGTCTAATGAATATATGTAGTGAAAAAGAATGCTTAAATATGAATAATATATGATTTATGGGTAAAAATGTGATTTTTATGACTTTATTTGCATAAATTACCATAAATATGCAAATGAGTGAATTTTTCAAAAAATTGAAATTATCACATTATTCTATACACTTCACTTGACATGCGTGCAAATTTCGCGGCAATCGGCCGCTTCGCGGCCGAGATATTAAGGGGGGGGGCCATTATGGCCCCCCCCCGGCCCTACTAAGACCTCAAATAGCCCGGCCTTTTTAGGGTTAATAGTTCAATCCAGAGGATATTCCTTTCTTGACTATTTCAAGGCGAAATGCATCCACCCGTTCATAATAAGAAAATTATACCATACCTGGCCAAGGTACTGTTCGTTTGGAGAACCACTTTCACACCTACATAGAATATTTGAAAATGAATGAGGGAAAAAACGTGATTCAAGCAAATTTTGGGAAATTATATTACATTGATAAAGAAAGGAAATGAATTGCACATCCCCTTCTTACTTACAGAGGTAAATTAAAACAACACTAATTATAGCAATAATGATAATAATATTGTAATATTTTAATAATGGTAATGTTAATAACAAATATTATCATGATGATGATATTAATAATAAGAATAGCTATATAATAAAATGATAATACATTATTTTGTGTTCATGTCGTATTAAAGATACTATGTCCCTTTTGCAGCCAACATCACATTCTGTAGAACTATGAATTATGAATATGTCATGTATGTCCTATCTGTGAAATTTAAATGTTAGCAAGGTCCTAATATTCAAATTATGCAAGGAAATCCGTTTACTTGCTATACTTCACTGACAGACACTATTGAGTGACTTACTGGCTTTTTTCCTTCTTTGATAATAACATACATAAAATGAGCTGTACATGGTACATGAGCATTTTGTCTACATCAATAACCCACTTCTTATAACGGCCAAAAATTAACTGATTGAATCTTTGCGCAGCATAAAACGTACGACCATTCGGAACAATGGTCTGAAAATCAGACTATTAATTACTAGCTCTATAGCTCTTAAGTCCATTCGACAACTAATTCTCGTTATTTTCCCACTTTAAGACATTTTCAAGCCCCTCTTTTTTTAGGGAAGTTCTAAATAAGTATTATCTTTCAAATGCCGTTGGAGTTAACCTTTTCATATTTTTGGCCTGCCAAATGGGACAAAGTACCTTTAAAAAGCAACATGAACACGAAGATATGTACGTGAATTAAGATATAGATCTAGATATACTTACTTCGAATTCATGTACGTTACTTGTCTAGTCTTGACAAACAGGTCGACTAAGGTTTCTTCGTCTCTGCCCTTCACCCCGGACACATGCAGCCTCTGTTTGTTTTGGGATGGGTCTTCAAATAGAAGACATCCGATTGACTCTCGATCTCCAGAATCAACCTTCCCGTCTGTCGTTCTTGCTGGCCAAGGGTGTAGTCTGATATGAACAAAGCACTGTTCATTCTCAGCCCTAGTCTGACCCATAGGTCTGGTGGCGGTGGTCATCTGAAAAGTGTTGCTCGTCTCAGCATCATCGATAGAGACGTCGATATCTCTCACACAAGGCACCGATGAGACCACACCTTTGTAGCTTTGTGACGTCACTCTCTCGGCTGATAGCTTTGTGAGTGATAGAAGCTCCGGAGGAGAGGGAGGGAAACTGAGAGAGGAGTCCGAGATGCTGAGCTGTTTCAGTGAGTTGAAGGATCTGAGGCAGGTCCACAACTTCTCGGTCATCTCAGAAGATAACTGGCAGTGCTGTATCTGAAGCCTAGCATTCTGCAATGAAATGCAAACAGACGAACTTGTCACTTTTATATGCATCCATATAGATATTGAGGCTAAACGTGTGGACATAATATTGAATTCCATATCAGTGAAGCCGAAAATACAAGGCTTAAATTCATATTCATGCACCACTTAAATTCATTGTCCGAGAATTGAATGAATTCTTTCATAAAAACATAATGCAATTGTGTTGCAATTTCCTTTAAATAATTCAATTCACAGTTTATCTCTTCTTGAATATTTCAAAGCGAAATGCTGCGTATAACAAGAGTCTACTCACCTGGACAGCGTACTGTTCGTTTGGAGTACCACCTCCACTTCTACATAGAATATTTGAAAAGGAATGAGGGAAAGATCGTGATTCAAGCAAGTCTTGGGAAATTATTTTACATTAATGTAGAAAGCAAGTGATTTGTATATCCCCTTTTTACAGAGATAAATAAAAAAAATACCAACAATAGCAATAATGCTAATAATCATATTATAATAATGGTA